TTTGGTTCTTATATTAATATGTATTCTATTTGTTCAGAATAAATTGACATAAACAGACGTAGAAAAAGTAAAAGGAATGTTTAAACAAATACCAAATGAGAATGGACAATTTCACAAAAATGATGATCTAAACCGATTGGAATTTAATTTTTCCAAAGATATAAAATGTTGTGTGACACGACAGTTCAAATTCTGCGCATTGAACAGTTTATTATTTATATTTTATGGTCGATGAGAGAAGTGAAGTAATGGTGAAATTTGGTGACCATACCAAATGTGCGATTTGATAAAAGTCCAATTCCACATTTCACAAGTATGATCGTTCTAAAACGTAAATTTCATACATTTGGAATCTAGACTGTAAAATTCTGTGAATCACCCTTGATACGTACTTAAAAATTGGTGAAGAATTGCTGTAAACGCAATTGTAACAAAATACAATGAAGAATTTAAATATAAACATAAACATGCTTAAAATTGATGGATTGTTGATTAATGAAATCATTTGAATCAACAGAAATGAAAAAATTTATGCGACATTTGTTGACCAATGTAATCAAAACGCAATTAAAATTGTGCCATTACAATTGAAATGCAATTTGTTTGAATCGCATAATAAATCTATTGTGGTGCTCAAAAGTTTCATTTCAAAAGGGTATGATTGGCAAAATATGCGTAAATAAATTTTATTTTTTCTTGGTGAATGCTGAGAGTTGAAACGCACCACACACCGAGAGGTTAATTGTTTGTTGATGTTTTTCTTTACGACTATCCCTTTTTCTTTCTTTCTCTATCCACGTCTCTATCTTGCAGTCATTAATTTTAGTTTTCATGTGACTTGGAAGTTTTCATGTGACTATCGTTATCTCACATTAAAATCAATGCGAATGATCTAGAACTGAAATCATGAGCTTCTACATCATTACACATTCATTTATTGTTTAATATTTATTTATTTTACTGTGTTGACTGAATATTTATAAGACACCAATCAAGTAATTCCAAAACAAAAGACAATCACGTGCTTTTTCTCCACAAGCCATGTCATATACATATTCGGTCATTTAGAAAGACGACAAAATGCAATTCACGATGAGAGTACACAGAAATAATGAAAACGGTGCTCATGTTTCATTCGTACTGTAAATCTTATCTTAACCCACAAAAGTAACGGGAGGACATGAGATTCTTCCTTGTGATTGATATCATTTTCATAAATGAGTATAGGCTCTATTTCCTAGGCTACGATTTGCGCACGATTGTAATCGTGTACGATTATTTCAAATCGCCAACCGATCTTTTATGATCGGGAACGTTTCATCTAACGCTTTTCAGATACACGTAGACGATCATAAAAAAATCGTGGACGATTGGAATCGCACGGGACGTTTTTCAATTCTTTCTGTTTTTGAATGAATGGAACCATTTTTTAAAGCAAATTTCAGAAGTTATACAAATGGCTTACGTAATGGCATGCATGTAAGGACCTATATGTCAACAATCAAAAGTCTAAACTCACAAAAAGGGTTAAAAACTTGTTTAGGCATAATCAAACCAGATAATTTATGAATAATTTCATCTGACAAAAAAAGCCTCTTAAAATTACAATAAAAAAAGAACGGAGAATGACAAGAGCTTGATAGTATTCGTGTAATCGAATCACATGACCACAAATTATTGCCGCTTGATGCACACCGGAATAAAAAAACAAATGCATTTTCACCTATATCCATACCAAAAGTAACATTGCACATGGGAGTTGCTTCTTTCTTGTGGGCTCAACATTTTTTCTTCTTCTTTAAACCCAAAAAAATACGAATTTTGAACGATAAAAAATATATTGATGAAATACATTCTCTTTAGGGGAAGCTTCTCTTGTAACAACATTCTAAAGTTAAACTTAAAATCAAATATGAATGTTATCGTATAAAATACTGTCTGCATTTCCCCTTGTCATCCTCTTTTATAGGCATACATGATTACATTGGACTTTATTTGTGGTTATCCTTTCGCAATGTCATCTCTTTTACTCTTGTTTTTTCTTTTGAAAAAATCTCAATATATAAAATACATGTCGAAGTAGCCGGTTTTTCTGGTACGGGATTCCCGCTGGTTGCATTAGTCAGAGTCACGAGTTCCGAATATAATTCAGAATTTATGATACGCACGTGATTTAAATTAAAATAGTATGCATGTGTGTTTGTTACTTTTCCGCGCACACACTGCTGTGTGCAGCATTCATTTAAATTATTATAATTTCTTTGCAATAAATAAATATCCGATGCGAGGTTTACAAAGCGAACTTCGTATTATCAATCAGAACGATTGGTTCTTTTTTCGTGTCATCGTAGAGTGATTTGTGAAAAAAACAACAAACAGCGGAAAGATCCGGCAAATCGGATTTCCGACACAAAAGATAGAGAATATTATTGTTTTAATAGACGGTTTGTAAGAGTCGAGAACATGGTTATTAAAACTAATTTGTTGCTTCGTCTCGCTCAGTTTGCATGATCACATAGAATTTTCATCAATAATTGAGGTATGAGGTGCGATCATGCTTATAAAAAGTCAATTACAATTAAAACAACTGCAAACAGTCGCCTATTCAACCGTATTCACTTGACCTTAACCACCGCTTGACTTTTGGCAACGATGTAATTATATACATTCCACGATGTTACTTTCAACAAATTATCGTGCTCCAGTTGGAACTAGCCATAAAATACTCTCGAAAAAATTTAGTGAATCATGTCATATATCTGCTATGATGGCCAACGACTTCAATAAAATTTTGGTCATAAAACTGATGCATACACTTTAAGAAAATCAAAATACACCGATTCAGATAAGTGAAATTCACTTTTTATGCGTTTTTGTTGTTGGAATGTTTGTAAACAATTTCTGAATATAGTGTGAATAACAGACAAACAAATTTAAATGCTGTGGCTAGCATTGGGATCATCGCCTATGGATTAATGGACTTACAACCCACACGCTTTGTTTTTGTTTTTTGTTTTTTCGACTTGTTGCAATATCGAGATGACCAAACAATTCCATTCAATATACTGGTTTTAACTAAAGTGAAATGCAGACAGACTAGAAAACTGGGAAATTGATGAAGTAACATTACTTGGTTTATTGACATCGTTTCCCATTTTTGTTTCGATGAACTTTAAAACACTGTCACTGTGTATGTCATTCATAATGTGGTCAATGTTTTCGGTTTTTATTTACATCTCAAATTTCGAATAAAACCTACTTATTTAAATTATGAGCTATTTCAAATTAATTGCGTTGATACATTTGCAAACTGATATCTTTCTTTTGGGTGAGCAAGAGAGAGACAGAGAGAAGATATACATATTGACACCCCTCATTCCAAATAAACATATAAGCACGTGAGGATGATAGAATAAATGTCAACGCGAGAGAAAAGAATGAACACAATCCAAGTGATAAAGAAAATTATTTGAACAATCTCATCATGACGTCGCATGAATCATTTAAAAATAATTACTTTCACGTGACTAATCTACATTTTTTCGAATAGATTATTGAAAATAGGCATGAGAGAGAGAGAAACGGCTAAATATGCACGTCAAATCGGATTAATTAAAATTCTTGTTTTTAATTTTTCACAGATTCAATTGTTCTGTTTAATGCAAAAAAAAAATTGAACTATTATAAATAACGATGATTTTATTTTAACTCGTCACTTAAATAGTTTCGAATGCATGCTAACACCTTGAACTGCGGATTAACAAGTTTCTGACAATTTTTTATCGCCACAAAATTCAATTATTTTAATTAGCATCACATGCAATCGATTGCAGAAATAAGTTGAGAGTTAGTTACTTTAGTTTTTATCACACTAATTTTCAAACACTGTTATTTTTAACGGCAGAAGTATGCCCGTGTGCATAAGGCTTAGAAACATCCCTATACAATGTATTGATGTTCGAATATTTAACTCATCGATTATAAGTGTGAACGACATGCACTAAATTTCAGACGTCTTTTGGTTCCAAGCGAAATTCAAATGTGCGCAAGACCAAAAAAGAAGCTGGAAACTTTTCTTACTTCGCCGATATATTTTAAAATATTCAAGATTTATGGAACTTGCCGTTTATAATATTTTCGATATGAATGTTTCTATTTGACGCCAATCGGTGATCTTGTTTTGTATATTTTTATACTTCCATTACCTTTTGATTATGCAATGCACTATATTTATTTAAATCATGAAGGACTTGGATCGCATGCAAAAACACTCGTAAAAATTCTTCTATTGTCTGTTGTTTGCGAAATAAAACAAGTTCAGAAGATTTATTTCTTCTTAATCTATCTCTTTTCATCCATCTCAATCTATCTCCTTCTATCCATATCAATCTTTCCCAATCATTACCTTTAATTTTAAACTTTTATTGAGAGATTTCTATTGTTTTTTTTATTGATTATAATTAATTGTTGAATTGTTCAAAGTTCGAATTCAATCGAAATTTGACTGAATGATGATTTTAAATGCGTCGAAAATCGCCCATAAGCTAATAAAACAGTTTATATTAAAAATGCATTTCAACGATAGCATATTAAATGAATCACTCTATGAACGCAATCAAAGCCGTTGCTAATCAGCTTAGAAAAAAAATCCCGCCGTCGTAGCCAATTAGATTACAAACCCAGTCGATAAAAAGTTGTAGTTTTTGTTTGTGCACGTAAAGTTGAAATGATGACGTCACATAGCGTGTGATTCGCTGTGATAAGCATATGATTTTTGAATGAAAGAGTGAATGGCACGAGACACATAGATAGAGCGAATAGCACAGCAATAAAACAAATCACAAAAATTGATGTTGTTTATACAAAAAAAAAAAAACGCACAACATCGTAAATACCAATAAAGCGTTTTAGTCGGCGTTAGTCGATGTATGTGTGTGCACGTTGTTTTACAGTATCAGTATAGCCGCTGTGGCACATATAACAGCTGTATCATTCCTTGGTAGACTATTGCTATCCAAACGATTCAAAACATCAGTCGCATCTTTGAATTCAACGCGGAAAGTCGCTTTAGAATGCGACAGTTATATTTCAAATAGATACATTTTATGGTGATCGTATCAAATGAGATTGGTCGATCGAACGAATTTTGAAGAAGAAAAAAAATAAAAAGTGATTTCATTCATTTTTTTACTGCATCCGCGAAAAGTGAACATTTAAAAATCCTGACAAATTTTTTGTATTAATGATCGTGACTTTCGGTTTAAAAACAAAACGAGAAAAAAACTTGAATTTAAAAAGATTTCAGCATACAAGTTCAACGCATTTAAGTGGTAATATCGATTGAAAGTTTAAAAGAAAGCAAAGGAAATTAGGTAATTCCAATTTATATATAGTTTTTACATTTAAAAGAAAACCAATGAATTACATGCATTCCCATCGTGTCACAACAATTTAAAAATGTTAATACAATGTATTTTGTCAAAAGTTAAATTTTAAGGAGAAAGAAAAAAGCAAATTTCACAAACAGTGCAACAAAAAGAAAAATTGAGCAAAATTTAAAAAAATTACCACGTAAAAAAGATCTTGTGAATGATAACAAATCAGGAAATTAGTTTATTGTTTTCACGAATTAGATATATCTGAAATATTTTGTTGAAATATCACATACATATTCCACACATGTTCAAATTGCATTCAAACGACACGTTTATTTGAATATTGTTTTTTTTACTACAGTCGATAAAATAATAGATTTTTGAATTGATAGTGTTTAAAGCATTTTTGCCGCTTCAGTGAACTTCCGGTTCAAATTATTAGCAACTTTCGATGTATTGATGTGAAATTACACCAAAAACAAAAATTTTGTTATGCAAATATTTTTTGTACGAAAATAATTGCTAGTTCCTAATTAAGTTTGACGATTTCACCTTGATCATATGTCCATCATGCGAATTTTAATTTGTTCAAAAAAAAATTAATTTATTGATTTTGCGAATGTTCAGTTTGAATGCATTTTGTTACTTCCATCATAATTATATTAGCGATGGATTCTCGCCGACCATGGACAAAACACAATCCGAGAATTATTTTATTTTTCGCGCATAGTAGATTTCCATTGTTTCGCACGTTTCGTAGCCGAGTAAAGACAGTGATAAGCGTGTACATTAGTTCTAAAAATAAATATTCTCACAACTTTGAAAGCTTATTTATAGCAGTCGAAGTGCCTCGTTCATTATGCATAAATCGTTGTAAACAGTAAAATTAATAAAACTGTTGATAATGATCGGTCGATTAACGATTTCTCTGAATCTGAAGCATTCACACCTTTTGAACCGCACGCTAATAGGTGACGGAATTACTAGTCATTTCCGACAGTAGCCAATCACTTCTAATTAGTATCGAATCAATCAGCCGATTAATTTTATTTTGATCAATTCACAACATGAATTTAATACGCTTTTAATTGGAAAGAGTTCAAAGATGTGGCGCCAATTAAAGTGATTTTGCATACTTTCTTCGCATTGTGCGGTTTCTATTGGAAATAGTAACGGTAAAAGAAAAAATCGAATTCGTTTTGTGACGAAAAGTCGGGAATTTTTCATCGTTTTTTTATGAATTCCAATTTCTGGTGAACGGTTTATTTTATGAAAAACATATATTTATTTTCAAGTTTGCAAAAAATATATTGATTTCAAATCGTAGCCATTTTTATTTCTTTTCTGATCAATGTGCTCAAAAAAATATGTTGAATTTCATTTTACACCCAGTTTGAATGAGTTTGACCTACGTAAAACATGAATCCGAATTGCACGATTAATAGATTTCGGTCACTATTTTATTTAGTGTACCCTTCAGGGCTTAGTATATAAATAAGTTAGTAAATACATAATATCATATAAATAGTTTTCAAAATTATTGGACAGGTCCAATCGGCAGTCTTTTAATTTTAGAAATAGTATTGTTTCGTGAGGAACAACATGTGAAATTATTATATAAATTATTTTGATCAAATATGGGTAAATTCTCTTCTTTGTATTATAGAATCCCCTCAAAACAACGAAAATTTTGATTTTATTCAAAAATTTTTGCAAATAGGTGATTAAAAAAATCCAGTTTGTCTGAAATTTTGCATTTTAAATGAATTCTACGAATTCGTGTGAATGAGATCATCTTAAAAAGAATGCCAATAAAAAAAAGGTGATATTTGAAAACGGTGCACCGAACTTTGTCTTTTATGAGTTCAAAGTACAAAATTTTTAGCTCTTTTTTCGTTAAACAAATTATTCTATCTCCATAATTGCGCTCAAATTAAGTTCCTAAACGCGTTTTTCACAAATTTATCACTTCAATCCTGCTTGCATAAAAGATGATCAACTATTCATTGTATGACAGATACGATCTCACATCATGTTAAATTTATTAGTATGTAGAAACAGAAATGTGTCATAAAATGTTCGTTTTTATCGAAAGTAATGTTGTTAATTGACGTGAAATGCTTTATAAATAATTTATCACCAAAAAAAGTTCTAGTAAGTAATTCATTTTTATGTGGAAGGAAGGAAAAGGGGACGAACAAATATTTCTCGGTATAGGTGAATCGGTAGACGACAAAAGAAAACAAATATGAGCATTGATAATAGTATGAATTGTAAATTCAAAGTGTTGAAAAAGGTACATATCTATGTGATTAGATATTGCAGAATTTATGGCTTGATTATAAACAAGTGAAATCACATGAGCATGAGTAATGTAATGTCCGGTTAGTCTGTCGAGCGCCAATTTACTTAAAAACTGATTGCTCTCCGTATAATATAAACTTGACAATCTCTGATAAAAAAAAACGGGAATTTTTTCTATTTTTAGTCTGCATTTTTGGCCAGATTTGTAAAAGAAAAGTCACTTATCTTCAGTCGAAATGAAAAATATCGTAAAATGTTATCGTTTGTCTCGGTGCGATAAACAAACGAAGTGCATGTGCAGTGCATGCACCTGCATATTATTAATATATTTCGTGCTGAGACAAGTATTCAAGAGAATGAGCCGTATATGTGGAAAAATAAAACTAAGTGCAAGCACAATAAGTTCGGCGTGTGGTGCGATTAAATGTTATTATCGGTAATTTCTCCTATTCTATAGTGTTCGATGTATCGTTCTTATTGACATTGCATTTATTTTATTGTGGGCAGTTTTATCGTTTTCTGATCTTAAAAACATGTATGCCACCGATTTTGACGGATCTCATCAATTTATGCGCACATCTATACATATATTCTTGTTCATACGTGATTTACTTTGATGATTTGTAAAAAAACAACAGTACGATTTATCATTCTCATTTCCAGTGAAACGTCGTCGTTGATTGTGTGTATCACAACAACCGTTGAACCACCCGCAAACTACACAACAACTACAGCACCGAAGCAAACACATAAAAAAACAAATGTGGATATTGTTTACATCTCTTACAAACTAATTGCTCCAATTGAACAACGAAACCAAAAATTTTTTTAACTTGGTTCTTGCGCACTGTACAAAGTTCCTAAATTAAAAATCGTCGATATCGGGGATCAACCGAAAAAAATGACGAAAGAGTCAAAAATGGGCCACGACAATCATGCAATGTCAGAGTCATCAGTTACGCTGAATATGCCACAGGAACCACGAGGAAGCAATCGTGGAAGCAATGAATTTATACGTAAGTTAATTTTTATTATTATTATTATTATTTCTTTTTTAATTTAACCTTGTGACTCATTTAGATAAATACATACAGTTTAATTGTCATTACAAAAGAAAAGAAAAACAAATTTATGAGACCTAAACAAAATGAAAACAAATCATAACGAAAACATTCCAACGATATCAGTGCATTCAACGCAATAAAAATTACGTCGTTCTTTGCATTTCAGTGCGCATTCATCATTTATTGGAAACGAATGTTTCTGGTTACAATTTTTTTTTTCCTCGGCTTTCATTCATTCGAAATTGTGAACAGTGGTTTTATGGCCGGCTTATTAATGCACATTGGCATACATTCGTCGCACAATGACACTGCGCACTGTATTTATACGCAACGATTCATCGTCCAATGACAATCGATTTCATTTTATCTGTTCTTGATATCACGTGCTAAGTGTTGTTACAAAATCGATCTGTTTTTTTTTGTTCAATTTCAATCGAACTCAGAGATCAATGGTAGAAAATGTAAACAAACAAATGTTTAATTTTCAAAGGCCTTTCCGATTCGGTCGTTAAAAATCAAACCAAATTTTTCGTCTTAAATCAATTTTAATTAGATTTTTATAAAAAAAAAAAATAACAAAGCCGTTCTCGTGTAAGTTCACTCTAAAGACATTGTCAGTTGTGGTATGAAATGCGTCACATTTTGTCAGAATCTAGTAACAGTTCAAACACACTTACAGCCGAAAGAAAAGTGTGCAAAAACAAGCTTTGTGTCAGTTTTATTGCACAAAAATGACAATCGATTTAAAAGTCTCAGGTCGCAAAAGTGTGCGGCATACAACAACTTTATTTAATTGTTACGTGTCAACGTTGATTTATCGTGTCAATCACAAAAAAAAAATCTCATTTTCATTTATAATGGAAGAATATTTAATGTTTTTGAGAGAATTTTTTGTACTTGTCACTCGTTGTCATGCATAAAAGAGAATGTGCAATAGCGTAAACCGCTAAACTTATTATTATGTTCTTTTTCTTCTCTCTAATTGAGATAACACCAAACAAGAAATTGATCAATGATCAGACACTTTTTTGTTTTGTATTGTTGTGGTTTTCCGCAGTATATTTTCTGATTTTCTGCCGTTTTTCTGGCCCATTCCATTGGTTCATTTTCAACAAGATTTCGTGCGAATTGCAAGATAATAATTAATTCGTGTTTAAACATTTACATTGCTTTGTTAATGACTTAAATTTATAGTCGTACGAGAGTTACCTGACTTGAGATTGATAAATCGTAGAGACTAGTAACTAAGGCATTTTTGTGGTTTTCGTTTTGAACCATTGTTTGTTTTTGTGCTCTTATCAATTGAATAGTGTGTGCGGAACACAACGGTAAAGACGATATTGAAAATCAAATAGAAAACAAGTGGATCGCCTAAAATTATACTATTTTGACTGAAATTAACTCATTTCCAAATAGATATGTTTAAAAGTACTCAATCTCGTTCACTCATTCTCGCTTTTGTTTTTTTTTTGTTTTTGAGTCACTTTCCATTTGTGTATGTATCTCGAATTAACAATTTTCTTTGTTTTTCATTTTTGTTTCATTTCAGTGGTGAAAAATGAAGAAGACTCATCATGCTGTGACTTCCGATTGGGTGCATGGATCGAAAGGAAAGTGAAAAGCGCATGCACCAAAAAAGTACTATATAAACGTTTACCCATTTGCAACTGGCTTCCAAAGTGAGTTTTATTGATTCCATTGAATTCAATGCCATTGATATAGTCAATTCATTAAAAAACTAAGAACAATTTTCTTTCTTTAGATATTCAAGTGAAGACTTTGTTGGTGATTTAGTGGCTGGTATCACGGTTGGCCTAACTGTAATTCCTCAAGCCCTTGCCTATTCTGGCATTGCTGGTCTCGATCCAGCATACGGACTATACGGATCATTCATGGGATGTTTTGTTTACATAATCCTTGGTTCGTGCAAAGACGTTCCCATGGGTCCGACGGCAATTGCGTCGCTTTTAACATTCCAGGCGGCAAAAGGTGTTTGGCAAAAAGCGGTACTTCTCTCGCTCTTAACTGGTTTTGTTGAAATCCTGATGGGCGTTATGGGATTGGGCTTTCTCTTGAATTTCGTTTCGGGTCCCGTTAGTTCCGGCTACACTTCTGCCGTGGCATTGATTATATTGACGTCACAAGTGAAAGATATTTTCGGAATAAAAGCCAAAGGAGCAACGTTCGTTGAATTTTGGTCATCAATTTTCGAAAATATAGACAAAATGCGAATAAACGACACACTGATGGGCTTGTCATGCATAGTTGTATTGTTGTTGATGCGCTTGTTGGTGACGAAACAAATCGGACCCAAAGAGGATCAATTGAAATCACGATGCCAGATAATCGTTAACAAACTGATTTGGCTTATTGGCACAGCAAGGAACGCTATTTTAGTGGTTTTGACTGGCATGATTTCATATTTAATGCATCAGTCACACCGAAGTGCTGACCTACAAGTGATTGGAACAGTTCCGGCAGGTTTACCAGATTTCCAAGTCCCACCATTTTCAATCGCAGAAATTCGCAATGAAACGACCGGCGAAGTTATCCAACAAGGCGAATCATTTACGGAAATCGTTTCAGAAATGGGTTCATCACTTATTGTGATTCCATTAATTGCACTTCTCGAGAATATTTCCGTTTGTAAAGCATTTGCAAATGGCAAATCGGTCGACGCAACCCAAGAATTGTTAGCAATCGGTACATCGAATATTGTGAATTCATTTGTTCAAGGTTATCCAGGGACCGGGAGCTTTTCAAGGGGGGCCGTAAATAATGCCAGTGGCGTTCGAACACCTTTGGGCGGACTATTCACTGGATTGATTGTCATTTCATCACTATTTATGACACCACTTTTCTATTACATTCCGAAAGCAGCACTCGCATCAATTATTATTGCAGCCGTTGGATTTATGGTGGAAGTAAAAGTCATCAAACCAATGTGGCGCAGCAAAAGTACGTTCCTTCCCCCCTCTCTTCAAATGATTTCCAAAAAAAAGATCAACTAATGATATCATATTTTCTTTACAGAAACCGATTTGATCCCAGGATTGGCCGCTTTCGTTGCATGTCTAGTATTGCCATTGGAAATCGGCATTTTGGCTGGCATTGCAATCAATGTCATTTTCATTTTATATCACGCTGCTCGGCCAAAGATCTCAATTGAATTCCTATCGGTAAGTTTTGAATCAAACTGCACATTTGCAAACGCTGTTCAATTTTGGTTTCAATAATTGTTGCATTTTCTTTTATTATTCTATTTTAGACGTCTGTCGGCTCAAAGTACTTAATGTTAACACCAGACCGTTGTCTTATTTTCCCATCCGTTGATTATGTTAAAAATTTAGTGAATAAGTTGGGTGCTAAGTCTCAAGTTCCCGTTGTCATTGATTGCACACACATTTATGGTGCTGATTACACAGCTGCTACGGTCATCGAAACATTGGTGTCCGATTTTACGGCACGCCATCAAATGCTGATATTTTACAATCTAAAACCAAGTGTTGGACAAGTGTTTGAAGGTGTTGACACTGATCTGAACGTCCAGTACGAAATCACAGCATTAGAAAAAGTGATTGATGAACGCAAAGTTTAAATCATAAATCGAATTTCATTCCATGTATTTGTATAAAAATAAATCATTAAACTTAAGATTGATTGCATTAGGTTCTAAGAGAAAAAAAGTATTATTTCGATGTAAGAACCATTATTGTTAGAATTTAAAGAAAGATAAATCATTGGTTATGTTTACAACATGATTTAATAAATATTACTAGTACAAACAGAGATTTTCAACAGAGTTTCCATTTCAATTCAAAGTGACATAAATCTTTATCACTTTTTATGAATGTTTTGTTTTCAGAGGACCTGCGAAGTTGCATTTATCAGTAAAACCTTTGTTTACCTGCTTCCATAAATTCTAAAGTAAACGAAATTTATCGACTTCATTGCATAACATAATAAGTATTTTAATTACATTATAAAATGCAGTTTGCCGATTTCATTTTCATTTGTCGGCTTTTTGGCCATATACAATTCGAGACTTTTTATTATTACAAAGTATGATGTAAACCGTTTTCATATTTATGGTTTATCTGACTTCATTTATTTTCATAAATAGTCACTAACAAATTAAACACACATGCTACAATGTAAATATTTGCCAAGAAAATGGTGCAATGATTTATGTTAATTTCACGTCGAGCTTTTGATGATTATCAAATTTTCAAAAAGTTTGAGGTAAGCAATTTTGGATTATTTTTGTTGCATGTAAAGACCCACCTCAATTATTTTACAGTCATTCTACAGTCGATTTCTATTCGCAAATCTCACTAAAGCGAGGATTGTAACTTAAAAAAAAGAAAAGCGAAAAAGTCTTCACAACATGAACAAGAAAGAGACTGTTTATCTTGCATACTACCAATGCAAATGCGGCAACTTGTACCAGATAAAGAATAAAATGAAAGATATGCAGAGAAACTGCACAAATTCAAACTGCCGCAATTTGAATTCACCAAGTTTTGAAGTAAGTTCATCAATCCTTTTGAAAATAATTTTAAATTAAATCATTTTTTTTACATTGTTATTTGCAGGATGAAACCACAAAGTTTACTTACTTTCGAACCCAATCGGCTATGCGTGACCAACGTCATTAATTCAAATAATGATTATTGCACCAAGAATTTTTATAAATGAATCAGAATCAGTGTATGCATTTCCAACCTCCTCAAGAGGATTGCGAATAAATAAAAATCATTTTCTTTCAATATGAATTAATTTATTCCATAAATGTGTACTAAACGTATTGTATTCAATAAATTTTTGTAATCTTTCGATTTCAGATTTCTTTAATTCTCTTTATATAAGTAAAACTTAGCTTGATAATGATCAGTCATTTGGATATTATATTTATTGAAAATATCGAGAGGAGAGTATGATTTTATTCAGACATTACTCAGCTATAAGCGCTGAATAACATACCCTCTTCTGGATATTTTTACCTTGATATTTGTTGATTGGGTCGACCTTTTGAATAATTGATCGAATCTTCTATAACTTATCACGAATGCCATTCGTCGAATGGTACATGAATTTCAAGTTTTGCTATCACAGCGGACGGCAGTTCGCGCGAGTGACGAAACCACATTAGTGTGTTGAAAAGTCGAACTCGCTATATATACACTAGGGTGGGTCAATTTGTAGGGGAGCGAAATAACCTACAAAGGCTTTTTGAGATTATGGTTCTACGGACCATAACAAGCATTTTTGCCCAAGGAACCATACCTCTATCGTGAATTTCGAGCCAGTCAATTTTTCTATCAAGATATTTTCCAAAATACTCAAAAATCGACTTAGACATTGCATTAAAAATTCAAAAAAACATTATTTTTTCTCTTGCTAAATGTGTATGCGGGGGTTTTTGGGGTCGAGGAATCCATTTTTGACATTTATTTTTCCATATAATAACGTTTTTATACGATTTCCATACAAAAACTGGCAAAAATGGTCGTTTTCTTCTTTTTTTCCAATTTTTTTCTGTTGATTTCGATTTTATCATCGGATCAGAAAATTATGTTCTACAAAGACAATTTTCACAAAATAACCCATAGTCTTATTGTATTTGACCCCAAATGGGGGGACCTTACTTTTTGTGAAATGGGTCTCGGAGGGCATCTGGAAAAAACATTTTCTAAAGGTTTTTTGGCATGCTGAAGCGGATTTTTTGGGTTTCAGGTAAAAAAAATCAGGGCTTAAGGGGCTATGACCCCCGACCCCCCTAAGGGGTGGGGGGAGTTGGAGGGCAGCTGACCCAAAAAATTTCTCTCATCATTCTGAACAACTTTGTACCCGTCTTCAAAATACAGTCCTTTCAAGAAAAGGGTCAAAATTCAGTTCTACGGCCATATATGGCACTAAATAAGGTCATTGACCTCTAAAACATCGATATTCGGATTCTAGAGCTCAATACCTTTCCAACGACTCCCTAACCGTCAAAATCGATGACACTTTTCGAAAACTTCAGCGTTTTAAAAATTTCATATGAATCTCTATGAAAAATCAAAATGTCTGTCTGTCTGTGCGCGATTTTGCGTACTCGATTCTGATCTCTTTGAAACTTTCTGTGATTAAAGTACACAAAAAACTAAGACTTTTTTGTTCCGGCACTTTTCGATTTGGCCGCCATGTTGGCCGTGGCCGGCCTCCAAAAGTAACTTTTCGACTTTTTTCCCTATGGTCACCGTCCATGACTTGACACCCCCCAGACATATGCATATCATTGGAAAGGTCTTGAAGTGAGCTATCGAATGGAGTCATTTGCGGTCCAAAAATTTCAATGTGGGGTGGCTAAATTGGCCAAAAACCAAAAATGTACCGTTCGGCCGGACACATAACGTCCATTACTTAGAAAACAAGCTCAAGGATTTTTTAGAAAATTTCACCGATTTTAGGCCCAAGTCTAAGCTATAATATGCCGCATAGCTCATATCCCAGAAAATTCTTGTTTTCAAGATATGGCCTTCGATAGTGCAAAAATGGCCAAAAATGGCCATTTTTTCAAACAATCGCTGTGGCACCTATACTTGACTTACGCAAGGCATATGCATATTCGTTGGAAAGGTCTTAAAGTAAGCTATCGAATAGTGCGATCCAATTGCGACTTAAAAATTTCAAGTTCAGGTGGCCAAATCGGTCAAAAATGGTCACTTTCTCGAAAAAGACTGTATAGGTTCTTTTTGAAAATTCATCAATTTTAGCCCCAAGTCAAAGATAAAAAAAAATGTGCATACCACACACCACTGCTAAAACCTCTGTTCCTCATTATGATCCATAATTTATATCATTTTGATCCAAAAATATCCTAAAAATCCATATTTTCATTGTATTTGAAAAATATTCAAATCCAT